TTCAGCTAAGATGACCACTTAACAGTTTATACAGAACTCATGTGTATAAATCAGCGTTCTTAGGATATTATTTATATCCTTTGAATAAATCCCTGTGAAGTTTTTCCTCCCCACTAAAATGGTGCATAATAAAACATGAAATGTGTAGTATGCAGATATCATTTATTAGATAGTTTGTAGTATATACATGTAGAACATACTTCTTTTGACAAAGGGTGAACTGATTGCTAATTTACCATTTTATTCTGTCAGGTACAGGTGAAACAAATTCTCATCTTGAATGATCAGATGCAAAATCATTTCTGAACCCTAGGAGCAGAAGTTAGAAATAACAAAATGGCCATTTCAACCTTGACTGGCCAAAAATAACTAATAAACTTTTTTGTTTTAAGTCAGGCAAGTGATTTTCTACACTTCACAGTTTGAAAGTCCAGTGTTAATGCAATATTTCTAGTGAGAAATGCTTGTTATTAAAAGCATGGGAGTGAAATAGTGTGAAATGTTGGTGGTGAGTGCTTCTATCATATTACTGTAGGTACTTGGACTGGTGCAAACTTGATTCCTTTTCATGCCCTTGTTTAGGAGCTATTAAAATGCTACTGTTAAAAATCCAAACCATTTCTTTGTTCCATGTAATAAGAAAATAGCCAAAATCACTTTAGAGCTTCTTAGCTATTTATGAAGAGCTGTCCTGCTTTTATTGAAAGTCACTAGAGTTGAATGTGGTAAGCAACCACTTAGCCTATGTATTGGATGAGAAAAATCAGTGTCATAAAATTTTGAATTAAGAGAACTCTTGTAGAGTTTTAAAAAAATGATTTATTTTCAATTAGGTTTAAGAAATCTGTGTTATGCAGGGAGGCATATCAGATGAATGTTGTAGTAGACAAAAGTTTTAAATCGTGTTAGACTTGAATTCATCAATTGTTTGAGGGTGGGTGGGTAGAAGGATAACAAAATTACTGTTAGTGCTTCTTTCCTTACGGAAAAAGATGTGAATCCCAGCCTTATTTCAGGGAAGCCTTTGAAGCTATGATGGACATAAGTCTAAATTAAATGTATGTATGTTTCATTATATTGCTCTTAAGACTACTGAGGTGGCAGTTTAATTCTTAAAAACAATAAAATGGAAGCATAAATACTATTTTGCCTAGATGAATTTTTATGTATTGGCACATTTGGAAGAATGCAGAATTTTCCATGTTTATGTTGATAACTTTCTACAGTATAATTAAGTTCACTTCTAAAAGATTAAAACCATCAAGTTGAATGTTACATTTCTTCAGTGGCATGTTTATTCAGAATATACAGTATTTGGGGAAATATCTGTTGCAAAGACTATAAGAAACTATATTCATTTTGCCCTGTAAAAACTACTTGCTCAAAATTATCGTGTAAATACTAATTAAATACCACTGAAATGTAAATGGAAGAGATATTTGAACATATCTTTTAAACTCAATAAGAGGCTGTATGAAGTATACAGAACTGCTGAAGGCTTTGTTCTGACTATATTGGAAGAGTATCTTTTGTAATCTTTTTTGGAAAACTCTACAGTTCCGTCTTTCATAAAGTTTTTGAAAATGAGTACATTATGAGTACATGAAAAAAGTGCATGAGTACTCAGATATTTCTTCATTAGATTACCCATCAAATTAGTATGTTGATGTTAAACATTTGTAAACACTATATTCCGATTAAAGTGGACTTACTCTTCATACTAATATAAACATACTGTATTCTGATTGAAGTGGACTAACTCTTCATACTAATATAAACATACTATATTCTGATTGAAGTGGACTTACTCTTCATACTAATATAAACATATTCTGATTGAAGTGGACTTACTCGTCTTCACTGGTTTGTAATTTGCAAAATTATGGCCTAGAAACCAATCAGTTTACTTAATATGGCATATGTGCAATCAAAGCAATATCAGATATACTAGGCTTAACGAGAAGTGGAGATAAACCAGGGAAAATACTTGGCAGTGATGCTAATAAAACCTAATTTGGATTTTTAAACGTCTTGTTTTGATTCATGTCCCTTCAGTTTTCCATCACTGAGGGAAGAAGTTTTAAGGCAGAATTCTTAACACTTTAGTGCTTAATTTTCTCACATCCCCATCTTTAAAATTTTTGAATTTTTTGGCACTGTAGACGCACAGGATTGAAACAATAATAAGTCATGGGTTTAGTTCTCACAATTGGGTAGGACCTCTTTAAAAAAAATCTATTCACTTAATGTTAAAACTTTTTTTTTTTTTTTTTTTTTGTAAAAGGATTATTCTGGCTGTGTGATAAGACCAAGGAGGCTAAGATGGAAGCAGAGGGACCAGTCAGAAGGGTGTTTTAATAATTTACACAAGAGATGATGGTGGTAACATTACAGGTATCAAGAATTGGGAAGTGGGTGACTTGTGGAAGGATATACGTAAAGATATATTTATATGAATTATTGATTTATAAAGTTAAACACTTATGTTAGATGTGGGTGTATGATAATGAACAAAATAGATGGTCTCTGCCCTTTAGGAGCTTACATTCTAATTTACCTAGGAATTATTCTTGATAGTCCTTACATTTTCTTCAAAAATTTTCCTTATATTCAAAGTATTGTGGCCAGGAAATAAATCTTAATGTTTAAAATACATTACTGAAATACATGCAAAACCATGAGAGAGAAATGTATTTAATTCTGAACATTAGTATTTCCTACCTGCTTTTCTGGTTATAATTGTACAATGCTAAATTAGTGACTTTGGAACAAATCTGTGGAATGCACCTATAATTATTCCTGAGTTTAGTCCTTATCTTGTAATCAGTTTTTAGTTAGGTCTTAATTTCTTTTGGGAGGTGATGTTTTCTAATAATTAAAAGCCTGAGTTGTATAGAGTTAGACTGTCCAGACAGATTTCTGGCTTTACCACCTGTGACTATCTAATTTAGACTAGTTACTTGCTTTTGAGTCTTCATTTACTTTGTTTTTTTAAAAAGTAGGGGAAATCATAATACCGACCTTATTGGGGCTATTTTGAGAGTTAAATGACTATATTTTAAAAGGAGAGTCAATAGGATTTCCTGGTGGATTTTTTGGCTTGATCAGCTTAAGAAAAATGGAGTTGTCATTAACTGAGGTAGAAAAGATGCTGGTAGAGAGACTAGGGGAAGATGAACAGATCAGCCGTGACATATTGAAATCCAGATGAAGATGCTAGAAACGTGAATTAAATATCCCTCTTTTATATTCTTGTTCATGCAGTGTAGGGTCAACCATTTAAAATATTTCATTTACATTTCTAAGTGGTAAGTTCTGTGTTTAGATAAAAATATGTATCAAATGCTTAAATAACTTACACAATAATTTTAAAGATAAACTGCTCAACATGTATTACTTTCACCCTTTCTGAATTTCTGTAATGTATTTGTCTCTTCACAAGTTGTTCTGTCTCCCAGTTGCATCCTTTCCCTTCCAATCTTGCTCTGGTTTACATAAGTTTATTTTTATGTTCCAACATGGTCTCTTGACCTCTTCCTAAATTAGGGATCAGATTTTGGTACTAGTCAATTTCCAATATGTGCTCTGAGGCAGGCAAGTAGAAGCTCAGCCCCATGTATTCCCATTACTAGAAGTATACCCAACCTTAGTGGCCTACAAGAAAAAAACATTTAACGATAAGGATAAGTAAACCTCTAAGGTGTTAAGGTTGAATGTACTGTGATGTGAGCACAAGAATTGGAGTGCTTGTGCTTGTTTCTTGAGTTTTTGTTGTTGTTGTTGTTGTTTGGTTTGGTTTGGTTGGCAAGAAGAATGCAGAGGGCACCTTTGCTTGGGAAGATGGAGACCTCAACGACAATCCTATATATAAGGCATTTGCCTCAACTTCAAACCAAATGATTGAGGTAAATAGGCTCCTGTTTTCAATTTCGACTTCCTGCCCTCTTCAGAGGAGAAGTTCTTAACCCAAGATTTGTGGGGCATTTTATACATAAATTGTGTGTGTGTGTGGTTTTTTTTTCCCCCCCCCCAAAGTCCATAGGGTGTATGAGACTCTATAAGGTGTCGACTCAAAAAGTTAAACACTTAATAAAGAGTGCTGTGGCTGGGCACAATGGCTCACATCTGTAATCCCAACACTTTGGGAGTCCGAAGCAGGAGGATTGCTTGAGGCCAGGAGTTTGAGACAGCCTGGGCATCATAGATCCTGTCTCTACAAAAAATGAGAAAATAAGAGAGTGCTGATATTCTACTTTTAAGATTGGCTATGTAAATAACCTGTATCTTACCTTTGTGTATGTAGTTTTAAGTCCAATAGATAAGCCCTCTCAACGACACTAACAGAGTGGAAAGGTACTTTGACAACAATGTTCAGAGGTAAGATCTAAAACAATTGGGACAGCTTTTCCCATTGACAGAGTGGTTTGATGTTTAATAAAGGGCGTTGAATATTTTTCTCTTGGTGCTGATATTTCTAACTATTACATAAATACAAATTTTCACCAAGAGCCATACCAGTGGAAAAGGAGAAGCAGGTGTGCTGAATCTCCTCCTCCAGATAAATTGAACTCTAGAGCTGTTATTCTGCCCTGTGAGTTACAAATAATAACCAGAGGAGAAAAAGAAGAGTCGTACTACTTTTCTGCCATCTGTTTTCCTTGTTCCCACTGAGACCAGGAAGAATTGGCTACCCATCTTTTCTTTTCACCTTCCTTTTAGTTTTTTTAGAAAGCTAAAAAAGCTTTCTCATTTTTTAGCTTGTATAGTTTTCATACTAAATCTATGTAGTTACAGATATTACATTAGAGGATTGTGTTTAAAATCTGGATAGGAGGTTGGATGCTTTAAAAAACTGGTAATCATAAAATCTGAGCAAAGAAGCCTGATTACAGGGGTTCTGTTAGAAGATTCTCATGTAGCAGGTTTCCAGCCAGACCACTATATTACGGGACCCACAGCAAGCATGTTTCAGAAAGCTAACAAATTTAACAAGACACATCCACTGTACAACTGATTTTTTTAATGGAAATATATTAGTATGACCTGTATAAATTATGACATTCAAAACAGTGGCGTCAATACACTGCTAAACATATGCATGAAGGTAGTGACTAGGATGGAAATCTGTCAGTGCTACAAAAATACATATGAACAAAATAATTTTTGTCCTTTGATAAATCTACAAGATATAAAATTAAGAATATTTACATAATTTCATACTAGATATGTGAAGAATATGCCACACTAGAAAATCTTGTTCCAAAGTTTGAAACATATTCTGTCAAAAATACTCTTTATACAATATATGAACTTATCAATAACTTTCTGGGTATAAAGTTGTTTTTTATGTCATGGTCAGATGAAGATCCCTCTGAATTATATGTTGATTAGAATTTTGTTTCACCTGGTACCTAGAAGAAGACAGAAAGTTACTATTTTAAAACACTTGTCAAGTTCTGTTACAATGATCACATCTTAGGAGCTAGAATTTACCAAAGTTATCAGTTTTTTTGTCTTGAATTTTAATGATCAAATACCTTCCATCACTACTTGTTCAACATAGATTCATGTGATACCACATTGTAATTCAAAGGCCTAATTTAACTTAAAGTAATGGTACAGTGTGTTGTAGCAATATCTTTCTTCATATTTGTTCCAAGGAACTCTGTGTTGGCCTGGTACATTTAGCTTTTACCCCAGTCACCACTGGTGGCCTATCCACAGCTGATGATTTACCTTCCTAGAGGCTGGACAAAGAGCTGGTGTTAAATGTTTCTTTTTTTAATACGGGGAAGCCAAGGTCCACCAATGTGCTAGCTACATTTGTTAGACAATGGGTTCTAGTGTTTGGGTCAGACATGAAGTTTAAATGCTGTTCCTACCCTTTATCCTCCAATACTTGGTGACAGTTGTGAATGCAGTTACTGAGGAGAGGATTTCTGGTGCGAGGCTCTTCTTACAAGGTACTCAGGCAAGGTGCCAGTTTTATAGGGGTTCTCTGGAATCTAGTCCTGGGAGACAGAATCATGGTGCTTATCTACGTTCACCTCTTACCTCAGGTCTGTCCAATTTTCTGGAATGGCCTTTTCATCTGACCTTTGCTACTTGATACCACTCTTAATAATGTTCCAGATTTATCTTATGCTATACATTTCTTTTTCATTTCGACTAGAAATTCCTTTTTTGAGACCTTTCAGCTAAGAGAAATACCACCGGCTGCCTGCCATGCTTGAAGACAATCATTAAATTCTTTCTCTGGTCCCTCAATCCGTTAGTTTTTCACCAGAGGATAGAGATGGTGTACTATAGTGAACAGAAGACAGGTCTTGTCATCAGAAAGATCTTAGTGCAATCCTGTTGGGGTCACTTGGTGTGTGACCTCAAGCAAATTAAGCTCTCTGAGCCTGTTTCCTGTTTTTTTTTTTTGTTTTTTTTTTTTTCATTTGGAAAATGAAGATATCTTCTTTGTATATTGTTATAAGGATTGAGATACTGAATGTAATACACCTGCCATCTACCTGGCCTACAGCAGAAACCCATTTTAATTTGTGATTCTACTTTTCCCAAACTAGAAACATTGCTTTAAAAGACTGGATGTTCTAGAAATGAACATCTGCAATGAAATGGGACTCTCCAGTTAAATGCTGAATTGGCAACTCACTCTAGTAAGGAAGGATAGAAACTTGTTTCATTGCTTGACTGGACACTGTGCTAGGGACTTCTCAAGCATATGACTATTGGGAGGTGTGTATTAGCTTATTTTCATCGCTTATTCACCTGTAAATGGAAATAGCAATACCTTCCCTGCTACGTGGATTGTTACAGGGCCAGAATAAGAGCATTGTTGTAAGTGGTTTGAAAAATAAAGGAAGATATGCTCAATATTGCATTAATGGAGATCTGTTATCACTATTTTTTCATCCTTTTTTTGTACGGGTCTGAGTTTCTTTTCCCAAAAACTCCCTGTGAGATTGGTTAGCATTGCTTCAGTTCTCTAGGGATGAGGCACAGAGGCTCAAGCAAGTGCTGGACTTTCTGCCACATGCAGGAAGTGGCCTCACTACTTTGAAGGTGTTTTTTTTTTTTTTTTTTTTTTTTTGCTGTGATGTCTAGGTGAAGATAAACCTGTTGAAGAATCTTACCTGATATTCCCGATTACGTAATCCTCCATTTGTATTTATGGTAAAATCAATTTTTTCATCTTTTTCCTGAGAAAAAGAGAATGGAAATAGGGATTAGGGGCTGGTTTTTTTTAATGTTGAAAAATAATGAGAAATTTAAGGAGTGGCTGCTTATGCAATTGTGAAAGTCATCAAAGAGCTGGTACCTGACTGGGTTTAAACTTTGACGTACTGTAATCTTTCTTCATCGAAATATGCAAAACAGCATCATGGATTGTTAAGAAAAGTATTGAGGTTTTCACTTCACCATCAAAAAATTCATACCGGTTAAGCTTCTCAATGAAGTCATCTGAAGAGAGAAAAACAGTAACTTTTAGGAAAAAAACAATTGTTTGACCACCAGTTTTTCCTTGAGGCTAGTAATTTCACCTTCCATTTGCAAATGTGCGTTTCATTGACATTTGGTTGTTTGTAGGTTGCAGTGGTATAATACTGGTCTATCTTTAGTACAATGTCTTTTGGAACTAACAAATACCTTTGTAATAAAAAAAAATTAATGCCCTAATGTAAAACGGAGGAAGGCAAAGGAGCAAATGAAAAACAGTAGTTCCTAGAAGAAAACTCATTTAGGCAGGAGCCTAGTGAATTGATCTCCCTGCTTAATGATTGGAGTATCAAGTGTGGCTTCTTATTAAAGTTTAGGATTCTGCCAAAATGGAACATATGTTTATGGACCAGTGATATGCTGTGGTTCTTTATTGTAGCCCATTTTCGCAAAGCTGCTGGGTTTTATGAGAAAACATCTTCCTTACCACTTACCTCTAATCATCTTTGAGAAATCTTATTTTTGTAGGCACTAAACAGCATTCATTTACATGGATTACTCAACCATTACCTTATGTCTGCCATGTGCAAAACTCTGGCTGAGTAATAAGAAAGATCAAAAGATAAATTAGACCTGAATCTTGCCCTCAAGGAAGATAGAACATTTATTTATATATTCCTGTAGTACTGACAGAAAACGTGTTGTATAATAATGAGGGCAAGGAACAATCTAGTTTTTTTCCTTGTTTTCTTAGTTTTAGAATAATTCCCAACACATAGTATGTCTTCATATTTTTTGTTGAATATATAAGAGAGATATAGATCAAGTACTATGAAAATTCTGAGAAAGTTACCTCTTGGTGGGTATCTGGGAAAACTTGAGCAGGTACCATCTAAAAGTGCCTAGGATTTGGAAAAAAGTGGAGGAAGAGAAGGTACACAATCATGGAGATGGATTCTTCTGTTCACAGACAAGCTTTCAGTGATAGAGGGAGAGGGAGCATGGAGGGCATTGTTGCCACCAGGATCTGGGATGGAGAGGGTGGTGTGCAATGACAAGGAAGGTGATAATCTTTGATAAAGACTGAAAAGAATGCCAGGCAGTAGAGACAGCAGGAACAGATACTTTCCAAGATATCTGGGATGATGGAAAAGGGTAAAATTGTTAGTAAATTAAAGGTTCCTGGGATCAAGGGGATATTTTTAATTATAAGGAAGCCTTGACAATGGTTGAACTAATTTTCAGTCCCACCAACAGTGTATAAGCACAGTGTGGCGATTCCTCAGAGGGCTAAAGACAAAAATACCATTTGACCCAGCAATTCCATTACTGGGTATATACCCAAAGGAATATAAATCATTCTGTTATAAAGATGCATGCATGCGTATGTTGATTGCTGCACTATTCACAATAGCAAAGACATGGACTCAACATAAATGCCCATCAATGATAGACTGGATACAGAAAATGTGGTACATATACACCATGGAATACTATATAGTCATTAGAAAAACCAAGATAATATCCTTTGCAGGTACATGGAGTTGGAGGCCATTATCCTTTAGCAAACTAATGCAAACAGAAAACCAAATACTGCATATTCTCACTTATAAGTGGGAGCTAAATGATGAGGACACATGGACACATGGAGGGGAACAATAAACACTGGGGCCCATCAGAGGGTGAAGGGTGGGAGGAGGGAGAGGATCAGGAAAAATAACTTATGGGTACTAGGCTTAATATCTGGATGATGAAATAATCTGTACAACAAACCCCCATGACATGAGTTTACCTATGTAACAAACCTGCATGTGTACCCCTGAACTTAAAAGTTTTCTTAAAAAAGTCTTGAAACTGGAATACGTCTGTATATTTTAGGGACAGGATCCAGTAGAAAGGAAGAGATTAAGGATGCCAATTTTATACCTTTCGAAGGACCTGTGTACCACTTGTCTCTTCTCCCTAAAAAGCTCCCCCTAAGTACTGTCAAGGTTGACTGCCTCACTTCATTCTAGTCTCTACTAAAAATGTCATTTGCTGGACATCCCTGATCAGCAGTCCTTCCCTCCCTCCCTCCCTCCCTCCCTTCCTTCTTTCCTTCCTTCTCTCTCTTTCCTCTCTCTCTCTTTTCTTTTTTTTTTAATTTGAGACAGCCTTGCTCTGTCACCCAGGCTGGTGTGCAGTGGCATGACCACAGCTCACTGCAGCCTCGACCTCCCAGGCTCAAGTGATCCTTCCATCCTTCCACCTCAATCTCCTGAGTAGCTGGGACTACAGGCACATACCGCCACACCCAGCTAATTTTTTTTTTTTTTTTTAAGAGATGAGGATTCACCATATTGCTCAGGCTAATCTCAAACTCTGGGGCTTAAGTGATCTGCCTGCCTCAGCTTTCTAGAGTGCTAGGATTACAGGCATGAGCCACCACTCCCAGCCTCTGTTTCTTAACCCTGCTTTTTTCTTAGCGCTTATCACTACCTGAAATATGCTTTTATTTGTTTATTATATGGCTTTCCGATGCGACTATAAGCTTCATGAGGACAGGGGCTTGTCAGATTCACTGCTGTATTCCCAGCACCCAGAACAGTGCCTGATAAATAGTAGGTATTCAGTAAGTCTTTACTGAATGCCTATGATGTCCTAGGATCTAGGGAAGAGACAGGAAATAAGAAGGTAAGCAAGAACAATACCTGCCCTGGAAGAGATATAGTCTAGTAGGGACACAAACTGAACTGCAAAATTATTTGATATGTGTGTATTCTGTGGATGCAAACAGTCTGAAGACCCAGTGCCCTGCCTGGGGAAGCAAGAATGTTTTCAGTTATTGTCGGAAAACTGCCTGAAGAAGCTTTCTTCAGAAAATAGGATGGGAGAGCATTATAGGGATGGACAAGGATATTAGTTAGAAAGTCCTTCTAGAAGGCCTAGTTGAGAAATGAGAAGGGTCTAGATTAAAGTTCTGGAAATGGATAGGAAGAGACTGATTTAAGAGGAAATATTTATAGGACCTGGTGACTCACTGACTAGAGGGAAGGAGAGGAGAAATTGGTGATGGTTTCAGGGTTTCTATCTGGAAAACTAGGTAAGCAGTGATGCAGTGATTGTGATAGGAAAGAAGTATTTTTGGGAGGGGGAATCATATACGTAGTTTTAAAAATATGTATCTGAGGTGCCTGGGGGATATGCGGACAGTCGAGTCCATTGGTCTGCAGCTCAGAAGAAAGGTCTGGGCTGGAGGTATAGTTTGGGGATTCATTAACAAGTAGATATACATGAAATCATAAACATGTAGGAAATTGACTAGAAAGAGTCTGTGGAATTAGAACCATGGTATCGAGTGTAAGTTTGAAGCTTGGGGAAGACTGAAAGAGTGGGAGTTGAACAAATGTCTGACCCTGAGGAGATGTTTGAGAGGTAGGAGGTGAATCAGAAATGTCTTGCCAGAGTCAGGAAGGGAGAGAGTTTCAAAGACAAATGCTAGAGAGAGCGCCTGATGCTTAAGTACGCTGCTGCAGAGGGACCTGAGACGAAGGCAGTTAATCCTGACAATCTGGACATTGCTGATAACCTTGGCAAGGATGGTCTCATCAGCAGGTGAAGCTAAACCAAATTATTATGGGCTGGAGAGTGCAAGGGAAGGGAGGAAGAGAGACAGAAAACAAGGCTACTTTTTCAGGAAATTTAGAGTAAAAAATAGTTAATATATTCCTCCTTTGTTGCCTATGAAATCAGGATTCAAATTGTAGAATTTATTTAATTACATATCAACACAACTAAAGTGCAAAGATGCTGTTTCCATAGGGATTTTTATTGGGTTGGCTGCAAATTAGATTTTCATCTTGTTTATATAAAATACTCATTCTTTGGAGAGGCTGTCTAGATTGAGAGTTGGCATTGAGCCTGAAGTGATTGTCAGAACATAAAGCAAAAATAAAGCCGCTTACCATCGACTCCAACAATATACACATCTACCTTGATCCTGATAAATTCTTGCAAAATCTGTTAAAAAGAAAGTATATCTTCCTTAGGGAACAGTTTCACTTGTCAGAAATATAAAGAAAACAATCAGAATTATACCTTACGGGTGATATATTGCTTTCAGAAGCTTTAACATTTTGAAAAGAGATAATAGTGTCAAGAGATACTAAAGTTAAAACCAAGGCTCTATGACAGAAATAAACCCAAATAAAGGAGCCCTTCTCCTCAGTAAGAAGTTAAAAATGATCATTCTTGAAGGGAGTATTATGGGAAAATGTTCTGTCTCAAACTCATAAGAACAACTCTGATTTAATTTTAAAATAGTGTCTTCTTTGGGATGATCTCAACTAGAGCTTTCTTGCTGCATAAAAGTTTAAAAAAAGAACCTACGGACCATGAGTTGCTAATTATTCTTGTCCACAATGAATGGATATATCTAGCACCAATGAATCTTTATACATTTTTCTGGTCTCTGGGCTAAGAACAAATAACAGTAGTGATATGAGTAAGATCATGGAAGGTAAGAAAAGTAGCTTATATTGTTGATCAGGTTAGATGATCATTAATATCATTAATATCATTGCCATCATTAGTAAACACTTTCAGAACCTCTTCTAGGCACTTAACTAAGAAATAGAGCCCCTGTCCTTTGTGTTATACTGCTAGAACCAAAAAATAAATATGTGTGTGTGTGTGTGTGGGTGTGTGTGTGTGTGGGTGTGTGTGTGTGTGAAAATGCAGAAACAGTAAGCTAAAGTAATCAAAACTAAAATAAGCAAAAACTGAAACCAAAAAAAGAAAAGAAAACGCAAGTAGACTTAAGAGTTACATGATGTTAACATTAAAAAAAAATTCTTCCATTTTCTAATTTTGTATCCAGTTCACATGTATCCAGTTCATGCTTAATAGGTCTTATCTTAGGTCAGCTCTCACTTGGGTAGATTTTTGTGAAAACCCAAGAAAAAGAGAAAGATGTAGAAATTCTTAAATTTTCTTTTTATATGTTTCTGCATTTCTGTTAGAAACTAATTTATTTTAGAAATGTGATAAATCTGTGGAAAGAAAACAGGCTGCAATCTGATTGTCAGTCGTGTTTTGAAATCACATGTGACATTTATTTTTTCATATATCTATTTGGGTTTTAGCCATGTGAAAATCAGCTTATAGTGAATGAGGATAAAACAAAAGGATCCATTCTTACATTTTTTCCCAGGACCTTTCCAGATCTTCTCTGATTTCAGAATAATTTAGATACTATGCCCACAAAGATTTGAAAACACCACAGAATTGAAATTTGAAAGGAATGTGAGCATAGTTGTCCACCAGCAGATTCATCATACATTAGTATTGTAGATTTGATTCCCTTCAATATAGTACCCAGTCTCATGGAAAATGCCCTTCTCAAGAGTCCACTGAACACCACCTTTCCCTCCATGGAATGCTCTAAGATTATAATTTGCTTCTAATTAAATGCATGTTACCTAAAGGAGCATCCTTCCACAAATACAATTATTATTATTATTTTTTGAGACAGAGTCTCCCTCTGTTGCTGGAGTGCAGTGGTGCAATTTTGGCTTACTGCAATTTCCACCTCCCAGGTTCAAGCCATTCTCGTGCCTCAGCCTCCCAAGTAGCTGGGATTACAGGTGCATGCCACCACGCCCAGCTGTATTTCTAATAGAGACGGGGCTTCACCATGTTGGCCAAGCTGATCTCAAACTCCTGACCTCAGGTGATCCACCCACCTCAGCCTCCCAAAGTGCTGGGATTACAGGCATGAGCCACTATGCCCAGCCCACAAATACAATTTTTTTTTTTACCTTCAGTCATTGATTGGTTGTTTCCATTAAGAACAAAGAAATTACCGATTTAAGGCCCCTCATTGAAGAAACATCAAGAAAGGACACTGCTGAAAAGTCGAGAATGAGGCTGTGGAGGCTGATTTTGGGGACCTCAATGTTGAGAGGAAGCTGATCATTCCAGTCAATCTGGAAGGGCAGGTCTGTGGTATCGATTGGCTCGTCCAGTACTTGTATCTGATTGTTGTCCAGCTCTTCGTCGGAATCTTTTATGGTGTCAACAGTACATATAAATCCTTTCTGCAGGAGAGGATAACAAGCGTAAAAACTGTGACCAAGAAAAATATTGTGTATGTCAGAGATAGCCAGTGAGTTTCAGAAGCACTGATTCAGAGTTGAGCCAAACAATGGAATTGGACTACGTGTGGTGGCTAATGCCTGTAATCCCAGCACTTTAGGAAACCGAGGTGGGAGGATCACTTGAGCCCAGGAGTTTGAGACCAGCAAGGGCAACATGGTGAGACCCCATCTCTGCAAAAAATTAAAAAATTAGCCAGGCGTGGTGGCACATGTGCTTGTAGTTTCAGCTACTTGCAGGCTGAGGTGGCAGGGTCGCTTGAGTCTGGGAGGTCAAGGCTGCAATGAGCTGTGATCGCACCACTGCACTCCAGCCTAGGCCACAGAGCGAGACACTGTCTCAAAACAACAACAAGATTGTAGACACTTGTGTTTGGTGCTTTTCCCAGGAGAATAAAAATTTTAGGGAGACCCTCAAAAGGATGTCATTTTAAAATATAATACTCATTGACACATGAAATCCCTCGTTTATCTTGCATTTCACTTAAAGGAATGGAACTAACCCCTTGAATCATCCTTTACTAAGCTTTTAGCTATAATGCATAGAAATGTGGTCAAGGAACTTACTGGTGTTACTTGCAGCAGGCCTTGCTTCTGCAGTTTTCGGATTTTCCTCAAAGCTTTGTTGCGCTTGCGTAGAATTCGAAGTGGACTGAAGCCAACCTGAGAAACCCATTGCTATGTTACAAGAGTACTCAATATTCTGTTATGTATATAGCATAATTCTAACAACTTTAACTGGAGTGATTTGAGGGATTGGGACAGATAATAAAAATATTTGTGACAAAATTTAAACGTGGTTTAAACAACATCAGCAACAACATTGTGTCAGACCCATGGTCTACTCCACCTGTATGCAGTTACCAACAGTCAAAAGTTTTTGTATAACACAGTCCAGGATTCATCCATAAATTATCCATGAATGGACATAAACTCTGTTTGAATCTGTTTGTGTTTGGAACCTACACAACTCTTAGGGGGTTTTATTTTATTTATTTTCTATTTATTGAGTATGAGTGGCACCTACATAAGTATTCTGCTTGTATGTAATTTTTATCATTAAAATTTATATAATTGTATGTTATTTATTATTATATAATTTTATTTTATAATTTTAGTATTATATTTGAGGGTAATCTTTTTTTTTTTTGACACTAATGAATTCTTATTGCTGTAATATTTAGTTCCAGATAAATAAGAGAGGAGGATCAAATTATGTAATAAAAAATCCTTGGCCAGGCGTGGTGGCTCACGCCTCTAATCCTAAGACTTTGGGAGGCCGAGGTGGGAGGATTGCATGAAGCCATGAGTTCAAGGGTAGCCTGGACAACAAAGCAAGCACTTGTCTCTACAAAAAATTTAAAACTTAGTGGGGTATAGTGGCACATGCCTGGAGTCTCATCTGCTTGGGGGGCTGAGGCAGGGGGATTGCTTGAACCCCAGAGTTTGAGGTTGCAGTGAGCTGTGATCGTGCCAGCCTGGGTGACAAAGCAAGACCTTGTCTCAAAACAAAACAAAACAAAACAAATCCTTGACAAAAAAATATAGTTAGATGGAAGTTTACTAGAGTAATTGAAAAGGGCAGTACAGAAAACCAAATATACAATATAATCTCATTTTGCAAACAACAACAAAAAAGTGGGTAGAAAAATATCTGATGCGTATCAAACTAATAATAATAGTTAAGGTTTAAGGCAGAGGCTCTAATGCAAGGTACAGAGAGACCAAAGGCATATTTCAAGAGGGAGGACTGAGTTTTTTTTGTTAACTGTCAAGATTGCTTCCTTGTCATCATCTCTTCAGTTTGCCAGGGACACTCAGTATTTATTGTTATTCAGTATTAACTATTCATTTACAACTGCTATACTGAATCTCTTGATGATGCGGTCAAATATTAAATGCTCTTTCATTGTTTCTGAAGTTGATACCCAAAGAAAATCTGTAGGATGACACCTACTAAAAGCCAGCAGCCCAAAATGTGGCAAATTTTTTTTACTCTGCAGCAGAATTTGAGAAAAGGATTATTCTATATTAGATGTCAGCTGAAAAGGCTTATTTCCCAACCTGTTAACAAACTCCCATAAGGTAGTTTCATCTGCTCTGGGTCATGGGACAAAAAACACTGACACAACCCCACCTCAACATATGTGACATAACCCAGCCTCAACAATGACCTTACAGAATAATGACATTCCCAGATATTCAGTAAGATTACAAGGAAAAACATTAAATAACCCCAAACCTTACAGCATCGATAAGTTTCTGCCTAAAGAAACCAATGTTTGCAAAGTAGATAGGAGATGGACATCTGAAAATTTTCACTCCTTTCAGTTCATACATCTATAAGGCAGAAAAGCATTGTTAGATGGTGCCCATTAGATCCATACTTAATATCATTTAGCAAGTCAAAGAAAAAAATGAATCTCCCTTACATCATAATAATCTTTTTTATTCTTATAGATGTTGCTTCTTCCAATATTAGCCAGCGTGCTGCATTTTGGACTGTCGGGAGAAAAACACCAAGTAAATCATTCATGTATGTTTGTTAAGCCTATAAGGCTAACACTGATTTTTTTTCCTCAGCATACCAAAGCAGGCTCACTTTCCAAAATGTAGAAGGTTGGGGAATCATCATGCTATCAGAGACTCTGGAAGGTAAACACCTTGTTTTACTTACTTTGTGTCCTCTCACAGCACCTAAAAGGTGCCTCCCATTTGTCATGTTACAGTTTATAAAGCACTCCATATGCTTTTGCCATTTTGTTTCTGAATATCACAGTTTTTCCATGAGGTAAGGCAGATATGATTACCCAGTTGTATGGATGAGGACATGGAAAAGTAAAATGACTTGCTTATGACCATTCAGTTTGTCTCTATGTTTGATGGGTTCCCAGTAAATAATGGAATGAAATATAAATAAATGAAAGAGTGCAGGAGTATTTCAATATTGATGTATTCCATCAGTCAGGGATTGACTTTGTGATAACAACTTCTGTTCTAGAACTCCTTAGTTCCCAAGGAAGCCTCTTTCTCTGTCACACCATGTAATTCAAAATAGGCTCAGCAACCACATGGTAGTGATGTTACATGGCAAAGATTTTTAAAAATCAAGGCTGGGTGCCATGGCTCATGACTGTAATCCCAGCACTTTGCCAGGCTGAGGTGGGCAGATCACCCTAGGTCAGGAGTTCATGAACCAGTCTGGCCAACATGGTGAAACCCCATCTCTAGTAAAAATACAAAAATTAGCCAGGCGCAGTGGCAGGCACCTATAGTCCCAGCTACTTGGGAGGCTGAGGCAGGAGAATTGCTTGAACCCAGGAGGCAGAGGTTGCAGTGAACCGAGATTGCACCATTGCACTCCAGCCTAGGCGACGAGCGAAACTCTGTCTCAAAAAATAATAAATAAATAAATAATAACAAAAAAGATGCTTGGACTGAATTATTATTAAAAATCAAGAATTCCAAATGGCTTTTGTAGAATTTTAAGGTAAGAGGGGACTTTGAGAAGTTCTCTAATCCAGCTCCATATTTTAAAGGTATGAGTGCAATCTAACAACCTATAAAAGAAATCCATCCACTAGATGGAAAGAATCTCAGTCTCAGTAACACATTTCCATGTTTAACAAGTACAAGGCAAAGACATTAAACCTGCTTGGAATAGAATTACTTTTGGTTTATAGCTGGGAGAACAGACTCAGAGATTTATATGATTTATTTGAACTGGAGTCAAAGCCAGGAGCAGACCAACAGCAGGTCTCCTCCCTGGGCTGATACTCTAAAGCTGGGCCATGCTATTGCCCTTCAGGCCTTGAGATGAGCAACTAGAGGGAGGATAAACTACCCCATCCTGGTAGAAATGCACACCTATCAACCAACTACTGTTCTCTTAGCCAGTGACATTTTTTTTTTCTCTTCTGATTTGGGCAGGTCCAAGCATGCTTGGATGCAGAGCACTTTGAGCACTCACAATTGGGTCCTGAACACGATGGTTAGCAGTTGAAATGCCACACTAGCTGCCAGGCCTAGCCCAAGTCCCAGGACAATGGTGAAGACGCAGGTCGTGACCCAAATTAACTGTGAAAAGAAAGCAACATATACACTACAATTTACTTTGATTAAAGTACAATGTGGAGACAGGGTCTTTAAAAAAACTTTTTTTCTTTTTTTGTAGAGACAGTGAGACCTTGTCTCTAAAAAAAAAACAAAAATTAAAAACTTTGCCAGATGTGGTGGAAGTTGGAAGTTGTCATCTTGGGCAAGGGAGCAAAGTGCACAGAAGACACTTGTCTCAAGAGGTCATTTCTGCTGGCTCAGGTTCTGGGCCACAAAAACACAAGCAAACATAAGAGGATTCAAAGAAAGCGTATTCATTTCTAATCCCATTTCCAACCCATTTAGGAAATGGAATTGTCTGTCACAGTGATAATTATAATTGCAAAAACCGCAATTATTTTTGCAGCAACCTAATATAACCAGCTGCTGTTCTTTAAAATCAGCAAATTAGACTAGGCATGAAGGCTCACATCTGTAATGCCAGCACTTTGGGAGGCTGAGGTGGGAGGATCACTTGAGGCCAGGAGTTGGGCAACATAGTGAGAATCTGTTTCTACAAAAAATTTTAAAAAATTAACTGAGGATGGTGGTGTGCGGCTGTAGTCATAGCACTCAGGAGGCTGGGGCAGGGGGATCGCCTGAGCCCAGGAGTTTGAGGTTATAGTGAGCTAGGATGGCACCATTGCACTCCAACCTGGGTGACAGAGGGAGATCCTATCTCTTAAAAAAAAAAAAAATCAACAAATTAACTGGTAGAGCTTATACTAATGTTTTACTCTTGGTCTGTGGATTTAATTGATGGTTGCTATCTTTATAAGAATTTTAGCCTGCCAAAAGGGTGTTAAAATGCCCCACAAAAGTAAATCAACTGTAGTTTACTAGTTATGATCTTTAAATACCTAAGGGTATGTTAACAAGCATTTTTATACCACAGACTTTGACCCTGTTAAAATAGCAAAGCATGTGAGAGCAAGGGGGAGCCTTTCCAAATGAGAGTATTTCCAAAAGGAATGTTCGGAAATTAAGTTCTTCACAGATTCGTGGAAACAAACACATTATGTAATGAAAAACAGAAGCCATGCATACCCTAAAATTCCAAGAGTTTCTGTAGTATTTCGGATTACTGCAAAAACTTTTAGAATAGGCCTAAGGAAGTTCCAGACTAGTGTTTCATGGAGCCCCTTCTTTTAAATTAAAAGTAGCCCATTTTTTTAAAGTCCCAGAAAACAATCATTAGAGTATGCAATTTAAAAATAACAAATAAAACAAACTAATGTTATTTTGAACAGATATATAGAAACAAAATTTCACTTAGTTTACAGTATAAACATGCATTTCACATTAACATTAAAATGCTATTGTGATTTATCTCTCTTTCAAATACTATTGCCCTCTACTTACACAATCATATTTATCCTTTCGCCACAATCTGCATATTTCAGCAAACTGCATCAGCATTCCCTTTAAGTTTCCCAGTGCTAAAGCTGCCAGGACGGACTGTGAAAAACATAAACATCAGATGTACTTTAAGTTAATGAAATGAATCATATGGAAGCAAAGGTGAAGGCTGTAGATAAGTGTGTGCTTTAAAGGGCCTCAAAGCAAATCAAAGCATACACCCTTTTCCGGTGTGCGATGCCACGCAGGACACACCAGAACTGGGACTCTGACCTGTTCCTATGAATGACTTTGTCCCCACCACAGTGACAAGGCCTAGACTGCACAGTGACAAGGCCTAGACTGAGATAGATGATCTGATGGCATTTAGTAGCCTGCACCTTGGGACAGAGAAAGGCAGACCTTCAGACATATGACAGATAAACACTTGGAATAAATTCTTCCCAAGCAGAGACAGTCTAATGTGTGTTTGTTTATTGGAGTCAAGGACAAGGGGGTTGCTCTTTGTTAAATAATAATAATAATAATAATAATAGCTTGGGGAGCTTGAGGTCCTGGAATGAGATGACTTGAGGCGGGCTTTCTGAGACAGCATGAAACATATCTATCTAGTTCCTGCTGTATCCCCAGAACCTACTATGTTAAATGCATATAGGAGGGGCTTTAAAATTAGTCAGTGAATGAGTGGCTGAGCCAACGAATGAATATTTCCCAGGCCAGTACTAATCCCTACAGCCACACTTCAGGCTTCCAATTCTTCCACTGCCAGAATGTGATCTTTTGTCTTGCAGGTATTGTGACAGTTAGGGTGAAAAATGCTAAATAGCTAAGTACATTCTCTTTGTTCTTTGGATTTTAACATAATTGTAGGAACATGCCCCTCACGCTCCCATTCCCCCTGCCAATTTACGTTGTTTTATTCTGAATAGAGTATGGAATTTGTATACTGCTATACCATGAAAACACAATGTACAAAGAAAAGCCATACGCAGTTTTTATTTTTATATCTTGAGGACGGTAGAACTGATCTGCCTATTTCTAATTTTCACAGGTAATCCTTATAATATAATATCTAAGCAATTAATTTTACTAACTGTGAGAATAGAGGTCACAACTTAGAAGAAATATGGTCTTAAGTGACTTTTAAAAAATTTGGTACACGAGTGAATGCCAGTTAAAAAATGCTGAAAATTGAATAAAGTCTGTAATCTACTTAACATACTATACTAATGTATAGTACTGATATTGTACTACAGCTATGTAAGATGTCACCTTTTGGTAGCTAGGTGAAGAATTCAGAGGACTGTACAACAGGCCTCTCCACTTTGCAGGACTTTAAATTCTCTAAGTATAAAATATGTCAAGAGACACCTGTGCGAAGAGACTTCTTTTTTTTTATTGGGCATTATTTCCCAACTAGTCAGTATTCTACGGAAAAACAATTTGAAATAATTTACAATGACATACATATATAACAGAGTACTTTTAAAGTAAAGATTACAGGGCATTAAGAAATCATAGAAAGGAAAGGGGGATAATTCCCGCAGGAACCTGGTATCCATACTGCATTTGATATAAAGGATTAAATGAAGATAAAATGCTTAGAGCTCTGCTGACACGCAGTGAGAAACTCAACAAATACCTATTATGAGCTTTTACTATGGGTTATTTTGCCTTCATATGATAAAAAGAAGCAAAATAGTTATTCAGGTGAATGAAACAAAGACATTCCTGACCACAATGATCTAAAAAGAACATATCACAGGACCCTTTTAAAAAAGGGCTTTGATTAAATCTTGGACAAGATTTGGTAATTATTTCTTTAGTGTCTCCAAATTGATGTGGGCTAGGTAGAACCCAAGTTTATACCCAGGGAGAAGTATGAGAGGGTGGAGTTCTCTCTGTAGGGGTGAGTGTGTGTGTGTGTTTATTTTTATTGAGATACGTTCTGTTTCTTTAGTGGTGACTTTTTCATTCCTTTTATGCCACTTATTTTGAAATCAGAAGGATAGCCTATGGAGAATGCATATTTTTAGCAAATTGTTCTCTGCCCTGCTTGAAGATGGATTTGGCCAGTGAGATTTTTGAGATGACCACATTGGGAGTCTAGAAACCTGGGACCAAAGTCACCGTTTGGCTACCAACCAACAAGGAAAAAAGGCCTAGGTGACAGCCAATAGACATTGGTGGGCTGTATCATATCTCTATGTCCTTTGTAGCCAGAAGTGTAATGCAATGTAGAATAATAATAATGTTAACAATAATGACTATCATTTATCAAGTATTTATCATATGCCAAACCCTCAGCTAAGTAGTTCACATTCATGCTCTTTTTATTTTTATAGTCACTCTCTATAGTGGGTATTATTTCTCTTTCTATTTTACAAATGTGCTTGAGGTTCAGCAAGGTTTAGTAATTTGCCCAAAATCACATAGATGATAAGTGGCAGAGCCAGGATTAGAAGGAGGTCAGCAGGGCTCCATGTACCACCTCAAAATTATATTAAAACCACAGGAACAATGTATTTACTGTCATCTTGTCTCCTAGAGAGCCTTTGCTTTCCAGGGTCTGATGGTATGTTTTACATCTGAGTGCTGCAACAGTTTACAAAGCATTAAACTAAACCCTCAAGCTTACAGGCAGAGGAGCATGAGAGTAGGGCTGGGAGGTCTGTGCTGGCTATTCACTCCCATCCCATAATCCAACAGTGTTGGTCTTGGAGTTAAACCAAAGTTCTAGGAGCTTCAGAGTGTGTTCCTAAGAACGAGTTGTGTGGCTGGTAGCGCCATTCTCTGAATTACAGAGAGGGCCTGATTACCTTAACCTTTAAGAAAACCTCGACTCAGTCCATGCATATTGAAGGTGTGGTGCCAGGTGCCCTCCTATTTCAACATTAATTCTGTTTGGGGCTATGCACATGCAAAGTGTAGAGGAGGTAAGGCAGGTTGGGCATCTGTGTTCCTAACATTCAGAACACGTTGCCAGGGGAAAAGAAATATTTTTGGCTCACACAGAGTATTGGCTAAGAAAAGTACTTGAGAGTTTGTCATTACCTCCTTTCCCCTAGTTTAGTTTGTGCTTTCAGAATTTAAGAACCAGGGTCCTTGATTTACCACCAAAAGGAGAGATGCTGTCCAAAGACAGTGTTACCCTTTGTAGAGGCTCCAGGAGAAATCCAATGGCTAGAATGACAATCAGCACGATGATGGCACTAATAAGCCCAGCAATCTGTGAGGATAAAAAATTATTATCACCAACTCAACTTTTCCCCTGGCTTGAATTTCCTAGTTACTAATGCTAGGACGGTGCTTGCAGCAAATATCTTGACATACCTGTGTTTTGCCTCCTGTGCTCTCCTGAACTGCTGATCTGGAGAGGGCAGTACTCCCAGCAAATCCTCTGAATGCTCCACAGACTATGTTACCCAATCCCAAGGCTATTAACTCCTGACAGGAAAACAAGAAGGAACCTTTTTCAGAAGTGGCACCATTGATATTATGTGTGCAAAATATTATTTAAAGTTGCCCATTGAGACCCAGTGTAGTTTGTATACTTACCTGATTGCCATCAAGTGGGTAATCGTGTTTGAGGGAATAGACACTGGCAACTGAAAAGGCCACTGCAAATCCAACCATTGCGATGGCAAAGCAATCTCCTATGGTTTCTTGGAAAACCATCACATTAGGTGCAGTAGGGGGCTCAAATCTAAAATCAAAATTAAGCAAGTCTGAATGTCACCAACCAATTTATAAACTGATATGATCATTGGACAAATCTATGAATGAATGCAATCTAGGCTGAGTTGTGTCTCACTTTGGAGTATGATTAACGAGAATTTAGCTCCACTGACAACTTTGCAATCTGCTTTCTTACTGCTGAAAAGCAACACTGCCTGAATTTGGTAAAAAATTGCAAATTCAATCCAAGGATAGTGGTAAATGAGATATGATTTTGCTAGTAGAACCACGTTATAATGTGCATATGTATTCCTATAAGCTTCCTGCAAAATGTCTTCTATTCCACTCGTATTGTTATGCTGGGTTGCAAAGTATTACTCAAAATGCTCCCGATAGTTATCCATAGATGAAGGCCCTTTGAGCAAACACAATTGTGAGACAAGGAAAGCAAAAAAGTCTTCTTTCCATTGATAATAATAACCTTTCATGGAAAGCTCCTGGTAAACAGATGAGCCTTGGACTGCCCTACACTACACAGAAATGCTAGAGCCAACCATGACCCTAATGGAGAGTGGGTTTCTCTTTAAGGTGATATATGTCAGAGAAACCTTCAACTCACAGGGCATACTTCTGTGTTTATGCCTCATGAATGTAATCAGTTCAATTATATTTACTACTTGTATTATAAAAGGTGCATGTATCTCAAACTCAACATCAATTTACTAAAATGTTCCACTCCTGTAAATGTCTATTTCTGACATCAGACTTATTGGAAGTGGGTTAATTAGGTCTAATCAACTCTTTCTGAATGGCTCTTCCACATTTTGTGAATGTCTATGGTACTACATTTTTAGCTCTAATTTTGAAGAAGTACTATTATACCATATTCTGATGCCATTATAAATCCAAAGGTTAGCTTGGAATGTTGCTTTGTTTTTTTAATAAGCAGGACTTTATTATTCTTTTGTTCTGGTCTCTGAACACCGTAGACACAATGGTGTGATGAAGATTTACAGTCTAAAGACTTGGGTTCATTTCCTGGCTCTGCCACTTGCCCTTCCCGAGTCACAATTTCCTCATTTGTAGAGCGAGGATAATAACACTTGTTCTCTGATTTTTGAGACGGGGTCTCCTGTTTCCCAGGCTGGAGTGCACAGCTCACTGCAACCTCCACCTTCTAGGCTCAAGAGACCCCCCCGCCTCAGCCTCCCAAGTAGCTGGGACTACAGGCACCCGCCACCATGCCCAGCTAATTTTTGTATTTTTAGTAGAGACGGGGTTTCACCATGTTGGCCAGGATGGTTTCAAACTCCTATCCTCAAGTGATCCACCTGCCTTGGCCTCCCAAAGTGCTAGGATTACAGGCGTAAGCCATGGTTCCCAGCCTTGTTCTCTTTTCTTCATAGTTTAGTGGGAGGGTCAAATAATAAATGCAAATACTATTTACACACTGTAAAACACAAAGTACCTGTTAGCTATTATTACAGGATCCCTCTGGAATCTGAATATACCCCTTATGTTTCCTTTACTGTTTCAATGAGCACTTTTCTTCAGCCAAATTATTTGTATTTAGTGTATGAGACTTTGCAAAATAACTTCTAAGGTGGCATACTCATGAACAGCAGGTTAGCAATAATTAATAATCACTACCTTCCAGTTATATTCTATTTGCAATCAACAAAAACCTAAAATACCTACTCAATTATCACCCAGAAAAAAAAAAAGGAACATAAAAAGCTCAAGCGCTTGCTACCTAATTTAGGTGTTAAACTAGTAACAATAGTAGTGTAATTTGAACATTTATTGTAAGTCAGGCACTTAAATATGTTACATGTATTAACTCACTTAACTCTTAAAAGAATCCTACTTGATAGCTAGTATTTTTAGCCTCATTTCTACAGCCAAGGACATTGAGGCACAGAGTTTTTGGTAATGTGCTTAAGCTCAAAAAGTGAGTCAGAATCAAATCTCAGGCACTCTATCTCTAGAACACTTGAGCTTACCTACTAGGTTACACTGCTTCTCTGTTGAATGTAATGGTTACCCGTTCCCATACCCCATACACTGTGGAGAGAGGTACACTGACATTGAAAATATACTCACTAAATAAGGCTGTTGTTGAGGTGTTTAAGATGTAACTCAGTGATCTTAAGTTTATCTTTTATTTTCCAAACCCTTCTGACAAGATCCTGTTTGATTTTACATTTATTTATTTATTTATTCTATTTGGTTTATGTCTCCCAAGACGTTTAAGTTAAGTGAAATCACTTGAAAGTGGCAGAATAGAAGGAAACCCTAGAAATAGTCTTTCAGTTTCAGCCTAATTTCCACTTTAAAACTTTAAAAATTAAAAGTGATGTTTGAGATTCATGAAGTGTAACACATGAAGATCTGGTAATAAAATTTTTTTTCTTTAAAAAAATAAAAAATACATATATTTGCCTTTAAAAGAATTTGGCTGTTTTAAAGTAAAAAAAAAAATACATATAAATGTTGATTTCTGGAATTCTCAAATACTTGTTAAGCATAGAGAGGGAGAGAAGTCTTTTTTAAAAAAATAAAACAGGAAAACCTTTCATTGGTAAGTTGGAAGAAACTGATGCTATGGTTAGAAGAAACAGCACAAAATGATCTTCCTTCTCAATCCACGAAATGTAATGAAGTACATTTTAAAATTCTTGTACAAACCGGGCTTCTCATCCTTTTGCAGTGGGAAAAGTTGCCCCACCCTTGTTTTGAATCTGATCGCGAGAAAGGACAGAGTGTGCCTATCTGGACTGCTCACGTGGCATGCCTGTGTTCCTTCAGTGTCTCTTTTGAACTTTCAGAACTTGGCTTCAGTAACTTCAAACAAAGCATTACATATTGTTTATAGTAATTTATGGACAAGGAAATCTGATTTCACTTGGTGTTTCTTTATAAGGAGAAGCCATTTACTTTGCCTATTTTTCTTTATTGTATTATTTATATATATATATATATTTAAAAAAAAAAACAAAAAACAAAAAACAAGAGATGGGGGTCTTACTGTGTTGCCCAGACTGGTCTTGAACTCCTGGGCTCAAGTGATCCTCTCACCTAGGTCTCTCAAATTGCTGGGATTTCAGGCATGAGCCACCGCGTCTAGCCTTACTTTGCCTATTTGTATACTTTCACTAGTTTGCTAACGTTTACTTTCAAGTGAGTTTCTGCTGGTCTGCGTCCCTGCTTGTCTTGTTTGTGAGTTCTTCCACAAGTAGAAACTTTCTGGTATTAAGAACTGCATTCATTGTGGGGAGGCTGAAAAAAAAGGAACTGCAGACCCTGCTTTTCTTTGTAGCTCCTTCCTAGAAGGAAAGCAGTGAGCCTTCGTTAGGGATGCAGGGTGCAGAGAGGATTCTGATGAGAGTTACCTGCAGGGTGACCTGCAGTTTGGATTGTACCTCGCCTGTCACTACTGCTAACTCTCTGCTTCATGCATGGTGATGCCATCATGGAAGACACACTTACCCAGGATTCATTTTCCCAACCACAGACACGTTAAACCTTGTCTGAAAGTCAAAGCCATAGGATACACCTGTTGCGATCACGGTCTGCAAAGTTGCAAATGGCCCAGGTTAGAAATGTGAGATGCAAGTAAGAGTTTTGCTTTGAAAAAAATAAATTGCCAAAACCCACTTCTGTACCTGTTAAATAAGAACTCCAGCCCAGGCTTTGTTACTTTTTAAGAAATTCGGAGGCAATTCTAACATGCCGCCAGGATTGAGAACCACAGCTTTAATTCAAATGGCTCTACCACGACATTTTGTCAAAGGTCGTGCTCTCTGCACTCTCCTTGTCTCACATGGAAAAAAATTAACTCAAAATCATAAGAGGAAGTTATTAAATTCTGAATGAGAAGAAAACCATGCGAAACATTATACCCAGAAACTGCAGAGATGACCTGCCCCACTAAAACCTCCTGAACTACAGATGGTGAAGGATTTACAACATAAAAACAGTAGAGTAACTATGACAAAGTCTGAAAATGGTCAATTACCACAATGAATTCGATTGGAATAGGCACTGGAAGTTTGTCTTTGAAGCGCTGATTTATTTCTTTAAAAATGGATACAACCAAAAGGACAATCAGAGCTGTCACCAGGTCTGCAATATTAGTCTTCTCTATTTGTGAGAATACGGAGTGTAGTACCTACAATTAGAAAAACAAAAACCACCAAAGCCCTATATTAATGCATAATTTGGATACAACACATCTCCAAACGAATAAAAATAAACATGGAAGCAAAAAGACTGATAGAGACTGATAGCGATTTCCTGTTCTGTTCCTGTTTAATTGTGAATGTGAAATTGTAGAGAGTAGAGATGGAGATATGAGAAGAGTAAATTAGCATAGTGTAGGCGGCACACTAGTTTAAGAATGCTTCTGGCATTTTTGCTGGGAATCTCTTTGGCTAGTGTCAAATTTTGTTGGATACTTTTCACGTTTTTACCACTGGTCTCCTGCCATTATTAGGTCTCTTTGGTCATCATTTTTTATTTCACAGCCATCACTACTCTGTCCAGGGAATAACTTCTGATCTTTGATAGTTTTGCTTAGTATGCTCAATTCCTGGCCCTTTTTGGGGGTTTAGATCCCCTCACATTTCTTAGCTGACTCTCTATGTCACTTTTGGAAAATAGTTTTCTGGCTAACTGTGCACTATGCATGGTCTTACTTCTTGAAACTAGTTGGGTTCCATATCCATGTACCCCAAAAAGCTCAAGTGGGCCAAAACTGGATCCCAAATTGCTTCTAGAACACTCCACTTCTGGAATACCTCTGGATGGAAGTGAGAGAGTGTTGGTTCCAATTTGGAGCAAGTTCTATCTCAACTCCCAAAAACTGTTGGGAGTTGTTAAAAATCAAACACATCTACCATCGAGCTAACGTTAACAACAAAAATTAAGTAACACTTCTCTTATATTTGACTCAAGTATATTTCCAAAAAACAGAATCTATGTTATTAAAAGCTTTACCATTTTGTCCCAAGTTGTAAAACTAAGAATACTATCTGTTCTATTTTGCATCCTCTGGAGGAAGGGAGAACTGCTGCCTTATCTACATATTGGTAAATTGTCTTTTGTTTTCTAAATAGGATGCAAAAAGGACCCAAGAACTTCAATTCTAAAAGAATGAGACCTGCTTTTCAAGAAATAGGAAAACTCGTAACTCAATTAGCAAATTTCTTTCAAAATAAGATTTTTAGAAACATTTTAAAAGTTGGGACAAAATGGTAAAGCTTTAAAAACATATATATGTATGTGTGTGTAAATATATATAAAATATATAAAT